TTTTTATTTTTATTAATTTATATTTTAGGTTCATCACAAAGAAAACAAAGACGTGAACGAACAACATTTACTCGTGCACAACTTGATCAATTGGAAACATTATTTGATCGAACACGTTATCCTGATATATTTATGCGTGAAGAAGTTGCACTTAAAGTTAATTTACCTGAATCAAGAATACAAGTAAAACAAATCAAATTAAATTATTCGAAAAAATAAAAATAAAATTTCTTTATTTTTTTCTTTTCTTTTGTTTAAGGTTTGGTTTAAAAATCGTCGTGCGAAATGTCGACAACAAGATAAAGCAACAAAAAAACCTTCATCATCATCAAATAGTGGTATACATGACAAATCAACATCATCTAATGAAACTTCACTTTCAGCACCACCAATGACAACATGTAAACGTGAAGCAAAAAGTCCAATAATGATTAGTCCAAATGGACGAATAAATTCTTCGCAAATAAATAATAGTCGTTCACCACCATCAACATCAAGTACAAATAGTTTAAATGGTGGTGGAAGTAATAGTCTATGTTCATCAAATTCTACTACAAGCAATACATTTTATCGTTCACCAACATCGGATAATTCAACAGCGGCAGCAGCAGCAGCAGCAGCAACATCATTAGCTGCTTGGTCATCACAAGCTGCTGCTTATCATCATATATATCCAACATCATATAGTCCAAATCAAACATCTTATCAAAGTGGACTTTTTTATAGCAATGATCCACAACATATTTACAAAAATAATCCAACAACAACGAATAGTCCACCAATGTATGGTGCAGCAACAAGTGCATTAACATATCGTAATCAAGATATGGATTTTCTTCAACCAACAGCAATGTATGGACGAACAAGTGATGAATTTATGGGTTGGACAGCATCACATCATCATCATCATCACCAAAACTTTAAAATTTTCAATTAACTTCTTTTTTTTTTTTCTTTTCTTTTGTTTGTATGTTGTGTCTGTCTTAAAGCTTGTGGGCGAACAGTGTAAATGAATAAATATGAAGCGTCATATTCATTTTTTTTTGTTTTGATAACACACATTTGGAAAAAAAGCTGTTAAACAAATGAAAAGCTATTTAATTGGATGTAATGATGTCTACTCTTGAAAAGTATTGACACATATTGCGAGATTTAAGGTTTTTTTCTTCTTTTTGTTCAATAACTATATATATATATATATATTTGTTGACAGAAGATGGTGGGTGGAGAGATTAGCCCATTTGTCAATAAACTAAAAGAGCCATATGAAGACAATCAGTGTAAAAGTCAATCAAAAAAGCTTGACTTTACTATTCTTCATTCTTTTCTTCTTTTGACAATGATGACATCAATTAGTTTGAAAGTGTAGAGATAGTTTTTCTTTTCTATAGATTAAGAAAAGTCTGTAAAATGAATATTACTTGTTCTTTTTTTTTTTTTTCTTTCGACCTATTGCCGGAGAGAAGCTTATAATAGATGATTTTCATTTCAAGAAAAGCACATGTACATACTATTTCAAATAATTGATAAATTGAAATATCTCGTTTTGTTTTGTTTTTTTTCTTTTTTTAAAATGTTGTTTATTTCATTCATGCTGAGTGCGTAAATATGAAACATTGTTAGTTGTATATGAATGCTTCTGTCATAAGCCGATTAGTCGGGATTCTCTCTTCAAAAGATTCTCATTTTCGATCGAATGAGTTATGTTTTTTAAAATACAATGATGCAAACACTAACATGGATAGGTGGTCTGTTAAGCCGATGGTTTTTTTTTTCTTTTACCACCTGAATGCTATCCTTACTATAGTACTTCAGAAAAAAAAAGTGAAGAGACACGCGACACAATACGACGCCCTAAAGCAAAGCTTATCTTTTTTCACGGCGTCACTATTCAATGAGAAAAAGAAAGATAATTACATTTTCATTTTTTTTTTCTTCTTCTGTCCTATTTGTTTAACTTTCGTAAGAGAAAAAACATCCTTTCCATTTCGTAATAATTAGTATGCTGAATCATGATCAACAAACTTTTATTGACTATGATTACTATTACTTTCTCCCATCATCATACTTCTTCTTCGTAAGAAACAAGATGAAAGAAATAAGACATCGGCTTGAGCAACCCAAAGGAAGTCTTATGTTACATTGTAAATAACCGATGACATTAATCTATGCATCGTTCTCAACCAGTACATAGGTATATGTTTAAATGTAGAATAAATCGAAAAAATAAGAGTACTTACACTCTTACTTTTTAATGTTTGTCAACTCTTGAGAGACAAATGCGGCATGGCGGCAAAAAAGAAAAGAGTTAAATTCTCAACAAGGTTATTGAATGTCTGTCTTCAATATTGACTTGATATTTAGCTCATCGGTTCGATATCCTGAACGTTATGTTCTCAAGCCGGAAATCATCGTTTGTCGATTTTAAGAAATAAAAAAAAAAAAAAAAAAGGTGGCACCGGCAATTTCTTTTTCTTCTGTTGCTTGCTAACAGATTGAAAAAGTTCCGTTTTATTTCATCATAATTCATGTGAAAATTAAACATTAAAATGATCAGTATAGAAGAAGGAAAAAAAACCCATAATGTATCGATTTTTGAGAATTTTGTAAAAAAACAAAATACTAACATTGAAATGAGAAATTTTTTTATTGACTGTTATCTATACACGTGTAGAGATAGATGAGGAGGTTTTTTGTTTCTCTTTAAAATGAGACAATGATCGGCACGTTAAGTAAATTGATAGTCGATTTCGATCAGGTGTCGAATTTATGGCAGCTAGGAATAGTAAATGAATAAATGGCACGTCTTTCTTTTTTTCACATATATACATCAGACAACAAAATCATTCTTTCCCTTTCTCCTCCTACTCAATATGTATTTAGTAAGATAACTATATATATATATGTATGTTTGAGAATAAATCGAATTGTTAGCTCACGTCTCGATAGTCAATTGAGATTTTTTTATTCATATTAACAAATAATCACTATAAGCAATATTTTATGTGTCTCTTAATAATCTTTCTTTTTTCATCGATGTATTTTCGTTTGTCAAGTGAAATTACTTTAGTAATTTTACATCATTGATGATAAGAATGAAGGGTTTTATAAGTACGCATTTTTATCAATAATACTGATCTGATATTTAGATTTTAGTTTAACTAAAATGATTGTCTTAAAAACTTCTCTTGATTTTAACATCGAGCAATAGTCTTAAACTGCAATAGCTTGTCGGAAAAGCAAAAAATGAAAAAACCTGTTTTCATGCATTGTACGATATATATTATTAATATTCTTTAGGAGTGATGTCTCTGTATAAATAGTATATTCAATAGAATATCTGTGACTAAAGATGGGCGGGGACTATGCTTGTTTTTTAGTCTTGTTCCAAGTAATATTTTTTCAATATAGTCTCAATTATAACCTCAGTACATTTTATATGATTCCAGAATTCACTCGGATTACATATAAAAAAAATTCTTTCATACGCATTTTTTTTTAGTTATTTATAGACATATACTGAGATAGAGCAGTCGCTAACAAAGATGAGAGTTTTTCTCTGCAAAGAACCTACAGGATTTTATAAGAGTGATATTGTGACCTACTCAGCTTACGTTAGTTTCGTCTAACTACGTGTACAACTGAACAGACCAATCAGAGCGAAAAATGTCCAAATCTCGGTTAGTTTCGGTCGAAAAATTGCAAAAATAACAAATTTTTACCGAGACTGATCGAGACTATCGACCAGTCCGGTTGTATACGCAGTTAGGTGAATCCAAGCTGAGTAGATCACAATACCACTCTTACAAGGTCTCGTGGGTTCTTTGCAGAGAAAAACTCTCATCTTTATCAGCGATTCCTCTCTCTCGGTACATTTCTAGTTATTTAGTCAACAATTAGTACTTTTTTCTTATTCTTCTTGAATTATGTTCTGATAGGTATGAGTTACAAGTACAAGATAATTCCTTTGAAACCATAAAATATCTAACTATAATTTTTAGTTCGGGTTTGAACAACTTTTTTATTATGATCTCAGCAGTCCTGGCAAATCTTTAAAGTTTGATCTCGGTCTTAGTTCCAGAGCTCAAGCTACTTCCGCATTTGTCCATGTGTGGCCATATAGACTTCTGCAAAATGGTTACGGTCTCTCGTGATTGTGATCGAATAGCTCTTGATCGTGACGTGACTGAAAAATCGTGGTCACGCAGAAGTCTAGTGACATATCTTTGACTAAGATAGTCACAACTGAACAATTCTAATATTGATCACAAGGAATGAAATTTGTTTTCGGTTCTATGATAATGCGTAGAAAAGATTTTTTCTTTTGTGTCTGCAAACTGTTACCATTTAGGATTGACGCTAGTTAAGTATTCTCACTTACTATTGATATTAGATCTATGAGCTTTATTTTATTACAATTGTGAGGCAAAAACTAATAGAAACGGCTAAAAATTATACTAAACTCACATCAAATATTGATTTACTCTGGTAACTTTTCTCTCGTAAAGACAATTAAAATTAAGAAAAAATGTCAAAAGAAAAAGATGGGAGTAAATTTCATTGAACACTTAATTTTCACTGTTAAAGAATCTTATAATCCCAGTAGTGTCTGAGTATTGATGTCGTAAACGCAATTATAGAGAAGTCATTTTTCTTTCTTTCGACAAAACAAATCATTTCTTAATAATTTGATTTTAATACTGAAAAATAAAATGTTTAAATTTAATTCATATATTAGTGAATTACGCAAACAAATTCAGGTAAGATTTAAAGGCGACTCTTCATAGTACAGATGTCGGTGTATACTTTATTTTTCAATAGTTGTCTCTAGTTATTAATCAACATTGTGTAACTGGCTATTCTCATCAACCATCCGATAAGACGATTATTTGACAAAAAAATATTTTGAGCGAGTGAAGAAAGCGTTTTCATGAAGGACAATATTTTGCAAATGTGCTGAGAAAAAGGTTTTTTTTTTAATATCAAAACCGAAGACAAAGATGGGCTTCGATATTCAACGATTTCCTAATGGCGTTGATGAAGAATTAATTTGTATTTATTAAAAATTATTTTTCAATAATAATTTATGAAATTTAACATTCATTCAGGTGCTATTTGTGGTGGTGTTCTTCAAGATCCTCTTCAAGCTCCAACATGTGAACATGCTTTTTGTCAAGTAAATAAATTTTTATTTGATTTAGAAAAAAGAAACAAAAAAGCGTTTTCCTTCGTCAAGATTTGTATTAATGAGTGGCTTTCCCGTGTACAAACATGTCCTATCGATCGAATATCAATGGAATCAGATCAATTAAAACCAGTGCCACGTATACTTAAAAATTTACTTAGTCGGTTAGTTTTTATTTGTTATAATTTATCAAGAAATTCAATATTTTGTTTTTGTTAGTTTAAATATAACATGTGAAAACGAAGGTTGTACAGCAATAGTCAAATTAGATAGACTTCCTAATCATTTAGCTGAATGTGATTTTAATCCAAAGAAATTAATTGAATGTGAAAATGGTTGTGGAATGATGATATCTAAAGATAATGCCACAGTAAAGCATTTCTATTTATTAAATATAAACAACTATTTTATGTATTTTTCTGTTTAAAAACAGGACCATAATTGTATCCAAGCATTAAAAAATGAACTTGATATTGTTAAAAATGAATTACAAAAATGTAGAACTGATATGGATTTATATAAGACAGAAGTAAGAACACTTCAGGTAAGAATTTATAATAAATTTTCTCTCTTTTTATTTTTACTTCAAGGAATTTATTCGTGTTCTTCGTCTTAATAATCCAACAATATCACGTGTTTATGAACGTGTAGAAAATGATGAAATATTACGGTAGGAAAAATAAATTTGATTTTGAAATAATTTTTGTTTCTTTTTCTAGATGGTCAGGTGGTTTACAATTAGCTCGTGTAACACGTTGGGGTGGAATGATATCAACTCCAGATGCTGTTTTACAAGCAGTTATTAAACGTGCTCTGCTCGAAAGTGGTTGTCCAATTAATATAACGAACGATCTTATGGAAAATGCTCATGAAAGACATTGGCCACAAGGACTTTCAACACTAGGTTAATATAAACTTATTTTTATTGAGGTATTCTTTTAAAAAAATGACTTTGGTTTTTAGAAACTCGACAATTGAATAGACGACATTATGAAAGTTATGTTTGTCGACGTATTGTTGGTAAACAAGCTGTTGTTGTACTTGGTTGTGATAATCGACATATGGACCAATTAATGAGTAAAAAATAATTAAAATACAATACAAAAAAGAAAATTGTTCATTTTTATTTTTTTTTGGTTTAGTTGCTGAACCAGGCATTGTCATGATATTTGCACACGGAGTTGAATAAAATTAAAATCAAAGTATTTATTTCTACATTCGATTATTTGTATCTGTGTTAATTCTTTAAAATGAATTTATGTTCGTTTCATTTTTTTTTGTCTTATATGCAAATCATAAAAAAAGTAAATTGATAATCAAATAATTTTAATTAAAATCGTTCGAATTTTTTTCAAATATGAATCAGATATTCTACAATAAGCTAATAATATTTCAAAAAAGAAGATATTTAAAAGACAATAGTTGTGATTTTTTCTCTTTATATATATCCGCGTGGCAAAAAATAGTTGCACACAGTATTTTTAACAAATCATCACTATAAGTTAACTTTTTGAGAAAAATAATTATATATTCAGATAGCCCGCTGAATTCTCTACAACTCTATTTATAAATATTTTGAATTGCACTTATTTGCTAAAAATAAATTCATGCACAATAAAGGCACCCTCATGTTCAGATTTTTGCGGAAATGCATTTTTTGCTCCTTTTTCGTTCATATTTTTAAGTTTATTTGGAATATAGGAATAACTTATTATAGAAGTAAGTATATATTCTGAAAGCGCATGAAATTCTCTATTACCTTGTACTTCTATCAGTCTTGGCTTGCAGGTATTTGATGATAAATACTTCGAGTATTGTTAATGCATCAACACATCACGTTGCCGGCGAGGTATTGTTGAAAATTTAGACCATATTTCGGTGCAAAGTGGTTCATCATAAACCAACCATTCGTAGTAATACTAAGATCAGGGCTAACAAGTGGACAATTATCCACACATCTTATTCGGCTACTTGATCATCATTCATGGGATGCTATATCAGTTCATGTGAAGTAATCGAGAGTGTGAGCCTCACAATTAGGATAAATTAAAAATACTCGAAATATTTATCGTCAAATACCTGCAAGCCAAGACTGATAGAAGTACAAGGTAATAGAGAATTTCATGCGCTTTCAGAATATATACTTACTTCTATAATAACTTATTCCTATATTCCAAATAAACTTAAAAATATGAACGAAAAAGGAGCAAAAAATGCATTTCCGGAAAATCTGAACATGAGGGTGCCTTTATTGTGCATGAATTTATTTTTAGCAAATAAGTGCAATTCAAAATATTTATGAATAGAGTTGTAGAGAATTCCGCGGGCTATCTGAATATATAATTATTTTTCTCAAAAAGTTAACTTATAGTAATGATTTATTAAAAATACTGTGTGCAACTATTTTTTGCCAGGCGGATATATATATATCATGATATAATAAGGAATGATGTGATAAGTTTTTTTCCATATCTCATCGGCTTAAACGAATCTAAAGAAATTGGATTGCTACGAGAATTATGCATTCTTACTTAATATGCTTCTGATTCATAAGTTAATCTTTGACAGTCGATACGAACATTTTTTGTTAATAATAACGCGACTTTAAATAAATAATACTTGTATTTTGCATGATTATTCATGTGTCGAGACTGGTTTTAATTTAATATTCAGATCTTGAAGAATCTAAAACTTGCTGCTTGCGAAAAAATCTAATTGTTCAACGGAGCGTAATATCAGTTCCTATTTTGTTTTGCTTTTCATATTGATAAAGTTCGTAAGTAATTATTATATGTAGCGAGAAGGTGTATAGACTTCATTGCCTGCTTTGATATACTTATCTTCAAAAAACAAAAGAAGTTCTGAACATAGAAAACTTTGTATTTGTATTTAATATATCATATAGTACCAATTGACCTGTTTTCTCCTACTATTTGTTTTTGTATTGACATACATAAATTTATTTTACATTCAAATCATTTACAACTTATATTTATACAACTATCCTACCCTATGCTTCACGGTGGGACAGAGTAAGGCAAGGGTTAAAAACTTTTCTCAGACTGGATACAGAAAATGGACTAAGTTTACTCTGCATATCTCAAGTAGAGCGTTAATTATCACATAAAAATGTTGAGCCTATCAAAATATTTCTATTGAACTTATCTATGAAGAATAAATCATTAAAATAATTATTTAATATAATCAGTTTAAGATTGATATGTGTGATATTTAGCAAGAACAAGTCTTCAATTAGTACTATTACAAATGTTTCATTTATCATCGAAAGAATTACTATTAGATATAAACTTTCTTTGTTCTTATACAGGTGTGGATAAATGATTTTGAGAAATGACAGATTGGACTATAATATCTTTGCAAGAAATATAAAATTTGGGAAATATCTCAATTATTTTTGCTTTTGAGACGAGAAAAAGAGTTATTGCGATGTTTTATCTTGACTTTTTACATTTTAACAACAAAAATTAACTACAATAAACTAAACACTATTATAAAGTTTAACACATCGATTGTGTTGCTCATTTATTTGTTTCCATTTTGTTCTTATTTACTACTTATGATTTCATTACAAATTGATGATATAAAAATACTCATGTCAGTTTGTTCGTTAAAATTCATCATAAGTTCTCCAACTTTTATTACTATTTCATGTAAATCGAGAAAAATGAAATTTTTAAATAAGTATTGAACTAGTTTCATACTGATTTGACGCATAATTCATTTTTAAAAACTCTGTGTTATACTATTTTGTCATTGAAATAGATCATCAACTGAAATTTATTTTCTTGTTCTATCCCAAACATAAAATATAATTGAATCTGTATGATCAGCTGTTTCAAATAAATGAATTTCATACTATTCACATGTTTTTTGTGGTTTAATCAGTATACATAAATCAATAGCAAGTAAATGTATTTGATGTTGATTTGTTTTCAGTTTGGCTATTATTGTTGTTGATTCGAATCAATCATGTGGTGGAAGATGAACCAAGAAATAAAAATATACTATCACTATTCATATGATATATCAATCTTTTATTTTCAACAAATATTTGTTCCATGGAATTTCTACCACGAAAACAGCAAGCATTTTTAAATCAACCTAAAAAGTTATTCTATCTTGTGGAGGTCAATGAGATGTGTATACAGGAAAAAAATTCAGATTCCAATATTTTTTATTTGGAAGGTATGCGTCTCATACAATTCACTATTGCATGAATGAAAATTAATTTCAAATATATATTCTTGCTCTCCCAAGATCTCACACGTTCGTTCATATACTGCTTAGATCCAAAGACAATTCACAAATTGACTTAGTTCAATTTAGGAAAGAAAAGGTTGCCTTCCTTGCAACTTTTAGCATTTTTACAGACGGTGAATATTAGCCACGACTATAATACATTTCAGCTTTCTTCATCGAAATTTCGCTTTCTTTTGATACTCGATCAGATGTAACACGCTTGTGACATTGAGAGGCGATAACTGAAAGACAAAAGAAATTATGTATCTTGAATGGTCTTTGTAGTTGGAAAGAGCGAGTGCGGATAAAGAGGAGAATGTCGCTCATAACCAAACCCTACTTTTGCAAAAGTATATGTTGTTAATGATTCACTTATTTTAACAGATATTTTAAAAAAAACAAACCTACTATTCAGTTGAAAGTCAAACCTGTGTTCTTTCGTTTCTAATATTTTCTTCTATGGAAAACAATTTATTTCAAGTACCATCAACTGATGATAGTTGTATATTATCATCATCCTCTCTTTTATCTATTTCAAAACCATGAAATGTAAATGTTTGATCATTTATCTCTTCTTTAAAATTATTATCGTTGTCTGATGGACTGATAGATTATTTATTAAAACACGAAAAACATCAATATGACATTATTGATATCAATATTATATCTGCTGTTGCTTCATACTAGTTTATTTTCGAATTTTTAGGCAAGTAAAACGCAACAAATGGTAGTTTTGAGCGAAATTTACATTGTAAAATTTCATAGATCTGAAAGAATAGAAGTATAAGTCTATGCGATTTGATCTCCAGACGTACAGACGTCTGAAGATTTATTTTTAGTCTGGCCTGCAGGCTACTCGAGTAGACTTATGTCAGGCCAGAAAAAAGTGATCTGTTGGTAGTCTGATGCGTATTAGATCTAATTGCGTTTGTAAACATAGTAAGCAATATCTTAAATCCGTTAAGCGTGCCTTCCGGCTCTCACATAGTTGTTGATGAATACAATTGAAATGGTTTGCATATTGTATAACTCATCTAGTCAGGTGGAATACGAACTCAGCTTCCAACATGGTTAATAATCTTCTTCTTTCTCATTATATATTACGAGTGACACGAAGAAGAAGCCTTGGAATAATCCTTATAATGAAAAATTTCGTTTGATTTTATAGACAAAAAAATGCATATCTTCGATGATCAATTTGTTTTCAAAGTGGTCAACATTTTTTTGCTTCAGTCAATTAAAAAATATATAGTTTTAACATAGGTCTTGATGGAAGAGGGCCTACGATGGGCGGCTCCACTACCGCCTTTTAGGTCGCATCTACGATAAATTTGTGCTTTTGTCGGAAGCTTGCCTGTCAACTTTTAGCAGATTTCTCAGTAACTTTCTGTCAAATTTTTAATTTATTTTACGTCAAAAATTATTGAAAATCCTGGTCATTATTGAAAACATCGTCGCATTTAAAAGATAATGAATATTCAAACAGAACATCCCACATGATTCAAACTCGATAAAAACTACTAGCTTATCGACAATCAATCGACGGTAGTATGAACAAATGTGCAAGACGGAATTCTTACAGAAATAAAATTAGGATTTTCATAAATACGGCAACAAATCGAATTAACTTCTGGTGCATCAATCGTACATAAATTCTCTCAAAGACGATTACTTCCTTATTTATTTTGATTCAATCAATACAAATACTAAAATTTAAATTGTGACTGAGATTACGAACTACATTAAATAAATGAACAACTATAAAAATAAGCTGTTAAACAAACAATTGAATTAGTCGATACACTTGTTTTAGTTAGTTTTAATGAAGTATTTCTTAACACATCAAAGAACATGCATGTAAGATATCTTAGGACGAGATTTGAATATTTTTTGTAACAGTTTGCTGTACTACTAAATCGAATTTTGGCATTGATGGATTCAAGTAATTCTCCACAAGCACTGCAAGATTGTCTAATTAATTTTTCATTTTGACCATGTTAAAAAGAGCAAGAAATACAAATTCTTGCAAATCATGACCTGAAAAAATGCACTTTATTGCTTTTTTTTCAGTATATTCTGCCAGCAGTCACTCCTCTGCCTCCCACTCTCAAAATTATCTAGGCTTACACTTGATGAAACAAAATATAATGCGTTATATTCTATAAAAAAAAGACTAGTTTTTATTGAATTTTCAATGAGTCATTGATGAAAAAGAACAACTCAACAATAGGATGCATCTAAATACGGCATATATATATATATATATACTAACAAAGAGTTAATGTTTTTTGTTACGATTTGTTGTCTTAATGAACTCAGGTCTATACCTGATGAATTCAAGGAGAATTCGACGAAGAGTACGAGATACACTAGTTTTCTCTAAATTTTCAATGATTATTCTAGAGCAAAAGTGGATTATCCTGATTTATATGCTTATGATACAAAATATTTCATGAGACAAAAGACATTTCGTGGTACATGTTTGTTTTTGTGCTCCTTTGTTTTTTATATACAATATTCTAAATTTCACTAGACATTTAACTTTTACAGGAAATTCATTTTTTTAGAAAACAGTCCAGTCAAAGTTTTCTTGTTAGTTCGTATCTTGAATGCTCTAACTATTGGCAACAAAGGATAAGAATGTAGAAATATGTAATTTTCCAGTAGAACAGAAAAATATTTCCATTCATCAAAATTAGTACCATCACCATCGTATTTATCACCACCTCCTTTTGCTCTCTTTTGTGTGACAAGAAATTTGATACTTTGTTGATTTATACACCAGATATTGCAGAGAGAAAGATAAGTACAGGGTTGATAAATATGCTTTGCTAGAGGATGGAATACAACTTAAACCTCAAGATATATCAATATGGGTTTTATATCAAATGCAAGTTCGTCAAAAACGGGATGTAGAAGTATAGTTGGCAATTCATAAGATAAAGATCGGCTATAGAATTACGTAAAGATTTGAGGGATTTAATTGAACATTTCCATGAGTAATCAATCACAAAAAACTAAGGCTCTCCAAAAGTAGTATTTTTTGTCTATTGGATTTTGTAGAGTTCTCTTTGCTGGTCGTTTTGATAAAAATAATTAAGATTCGAGAAATGATCAATTATGTTCCTAAAATCTTCAAAACTTTACGTACTTCTATAGCCTCCTTTTATCTTATTCATGGAAAGTTATACTGTTAAGGCCCGTTATTAACGGACTTTCATTTTGTATAAAACTCATTTCTAATATCTTTGGAGATTTGAGCTATATCTTCTCCTCCTGAAAAAGCATTTTTATTCATTCTGTTCATTCGCGATGATCTACCTTTAAAGTATTAAGCAGTTCACCATAGATGTAATCTTTCTGACGTTTCTTTCTTCCGCTCGTCAGAAGAATTAACAAAAGATGCGATCTCATATTTACTAATTACTCCAGAATGATTCGTTCTAGCATAGATTTTTTTTCCATTTCGTAAACGAAAATCTGACATTTTGTTACCATCCTAAATAAAACTTCCTAAATGAATAGAAAAATAATAATTACTTGAGAGCAAACGAAAACAGTGCGATCAATAAAGATTCGAATAAAAGTTTTCCTTTCGATATTCGTTGAGAAGTATGAAAACCTTCAATTCTTTCTCTGCTTATAAATATGGAGAAAGAAAAGTTATTCAGTCAAAACTCTCTACATTTTAAATATTCAGAACTATTTTTTTTCTTCTATTTCTATGCACATCGACTCATAAAACATTAATTTATACTTTGTAACCTATCATAAACAACATCAGTCGTGCTTTGCTTTATGATATAAATATAGCTGATTATAGTTCAGTCAATACAGCAACGTTGCATGATTGTTCTTTTAATTTAAAAAACTATGCCATATGAGTAGATAAAGATGGTGACGCAAAGTATTGGATAAACATGCATATACGACCAATATAAAATCCATTATCTCGACTTTATTTACCATCAACGACTTGCTAACGGATGGTTTCTCTCTGTCTTACAAGAAACGAACGACAGTGTATCTCCTAACGATCATCATAGATCTACATAACGACTATTTGACCAACAAGTACACCAGCGATAAAAAAATAAAAACAATTATGTAGAACTCATCGAATTTTCTACTTGGCCACATCAAGTATAGACCTTGATCTATTCGAACAAAGATCGTAGCGAAAAAGAAAATTTTGTTACTGTAAGTATACAAATGTCATGTGTATATGTATAATCTTGAGCTTTTTCATCATAAATGAATTATTGAAAATTAAATCAAAATTAATGTATTTTATAGTCTACTTTGTTACATACATAAGAAAGTTAAGTACAATCATACAACAAATTGCAATAGAGAATACTCGTATTCTGACCTAAGGATCTAAGATATCCTACAGTTCCTATCTAGATATAGTATACTTCGATATATATTTAAATCTTTTGATTTTGTATCAATAAAAACTGATTTTATATTTAAATATTAAACAGAACTAAAATTTGATATAATCATTTTTAATATCAATCAGTTTTATTGGTTCATCAAGATGTCGCTATAAATAGAAAAAACAATTTTAATTGTTAAAAATTCCCATTAGAGCAGAGTTTTGTAAATATTGACTATACAAACAAATAAAAAAATGAAATCTTTTATTAAATTTTATTTAAATGAAATACAAACAAAAACAAAAAAAAATGTAAACAAACAAAAACAAGGTTTCTCATGTAGTTCGTTTATTTAAGTCTTTTTAATATTGAATCGCTTCCATGGCATGTCGTCAACAGATAATCGTAATAAAAATTACACATTTGAGATTAAATTTGGTCCCTACCATCAAAAGGTAACCATTACAATGAGTCCATTTAGTTTGACAATGAATACATTACGCGAAGTTGCTATAAGATTTATTGAAACAATGGTTAGTTTTTCAATTAAAAACAATAAAACAAAGAACAAATTGTTTTTTTTTAAGTGTCCCGATCAGGATATTAAACTTTTACATAAAAGAATATTATTATTTCGATATGAACCATCATCATACTCAATGATAATACCACTCAATCCAAGAGATATTCTTGTTCCGGATACAATCGTTGAAGTAGTTATATCACGTAAGTTAAGAATAAAACGAAAGACAAGAATGTAATTAATTTCATGGCCCAAGAGAGCAGTATTTTATGTAACAAAAGAAGTTATTCTCTAGAGAAATTTTATTATATTGAATAAATTTTTCATATAATTGAAATGTTTCGCTTGTATAATATTTTCATTTAATGTTTTTGTTTAATCAATAAATAGAGACAAATAGAGCTAATGTTTGACTTCTAATAAATGTCATTGTGAATACGTGCTCTTTGAAGATTATTTTCTTAATAAACATCCATAAATCAATAATTGTGCATGCACAAAGTCAATCGGATGTGCATGTATAAGAATGTAGAGTAACAGCAATAATTGGCAGAAAAAAAGTATAATCTCACACTATTCGAAATCCCTCTTATTGACAGCACTATTCTTTAGAATAAAAAGGCATCGTAGTGAATCTTGTATGGTTCTAAATGTCGGTACTACTTTTTGAACCTTTTTAATTTCTAGTCAAAAAATCTCGAACTTAAACAGGTTTTAGTCTGAAAAAGTGGAGCTTAAAAAGTTTGAAAAAATGGTACAAAAATCTCGAGCCTTAAGAAGATCAGTTCCATGTCACTTTTTTTAAATAAAGTAATGCTATTTGGCATTCTACTTTTTGTTCTTCTTGAACTTAGCATTAATTTCGCTTCAATGCGCTCTTCGTTTTTTTTTATTATTGTTGTTTTCTTTCTTTGACTTTGACTAGTCATATAATTTTACTTGGTATGTCTTCATTCGCGTTTTTTTTAACCAGAAGCATATATTTCACTAATGTATATGAGGTATTTAGTGTGTTTTTAGTTGTATGCCATGTTGACTTGAAAGAGGACAAGCATTTCCATTTTTTCCTGTGTAATCCTTTTCTTTTTCTTTTGTGCTATATATTCCATTAATAGGGTTCTCATTCTATTTTATTTTTATTGCTTTATTCGAATAAATTTAATATATGTGAGTTAATGATCTGTATGTGTGAACAACCTTGATTTATGTTTTCTTCTCTTCTTCTTTTTCTCAATCTCTCTAACAGTAATAGCGAATGCTTATTGCACGTTTTCTCGTTCGTCTTACATATATACACATGCCAATTTGACTTATGTCGACAATAGCAAAAAAAACACGTGTTTATCTACTAACCATCACACAGGAGAGCTAAAGACATCATAGGCAAAAAGAAAATGTCTAGTTGCATGTAGTGGTATTTCTATAACTATGTTTTCGCCGGTATTATGAGTGGTGTCGACTAACAATAAATAAAAGAGCAAAACATAGATAGGGAGAGAGAGAGAGAGAGAGAGAGAAAACATAAATGGATCGCCTTCATTTGTGTTCTCTACGAGAGTATTGATCAATGATTTGATAAGCGCGTTGGCGAAAGGGAATAAAGCAGCTCTTGATTGTTACTATTGTCGTTGTAGCATTTGAAGCGTTGATTTAATAAAGCCATGTCATAGGAAAAACGAACGAAGACGAGATAGAAAGATTAGTTTTGTTAGTAAGGATTCTTATTCTTGTTTATACGCTTGTATAGTTAATTTAATTATGCGTCTGATGACCATTTCTACAATTGTTGAAATATATATATATATATATATTATATGCTAAAAAAGTTTACATCTATTTATTTCCGGAGGAGTTTTATTTTCTATTTCTATTGTTACTAAGAACTAACATTTATTGATACATTAGGTGCAAATTAGAAGAAAAACAAAAAAAAAATGCAATATTTTCATTCTTATCAACAAAAAAAAAGATTCTTAATAAAAATTCCTTTTCTTTCTATCGTTCATAGTCAGTTTTGATCAACCAACTAATCTATAACTTGAATTCTAATTAGTAAACATTGACTGATCGATTTGTTTCTTATATTTATTTCTTTTCAGCCTACATTATGAGTGAATATAGTGGCCTTGTTCCGCATGTGCTAAGTTTGCATACTTATTTATCACCAACATTTTGTGATTTATGTGGACAATTTTTATTTGGTCTTTATAAACAAGGAATGAAATGTGAAGGTAGATTATTCAATTAATATTACATTTTTTAAAGTTCTTATTGAAATAAATTCATTTTTATGATAGGATGTGGTCGTAATTTTCATAAACGATGCGTCTCTGATTTGCCCGATAATTGTTCGCCTATGGCAAGAAAAATATCTGATGTACCATGTTCACATGATGATAACGTAAATATTATCGATATTTGTTTTTTTTTATTGAACACTGGAAGAATATTGCATTAGACATTAGAAAAGTTCAAGAAAAATTATAATCTTTTATGGAATAAAAAATAATAATATATTAGTTTTTTTTTCTGGTATTTACAAAAAAGTGATTAGAATAGAAAAAATTTAAAAAAAAAGACTTTTAATGTTAGAATATATCATCGATGTTTCTTATTACACATAGGCTGCTGGTAATCTTAACAAGCGTTTAACATTAACTGGCACAGAATTACCAACAGCATTACCACATTGCTTTTATGTACACAGTTTTCGTTCGCCAACAAAATGTCATATTTGTAAACGTCTATTAAAAGGTCTTGTGAAACAAGGATACAGATGTAAAGGTAGGTTATTCTGTTTATTTATTTTTTCAATTTTAAATTAGATTTATTTTTAGATTGTAAAATGAGTGTTCATAAAAAATGTATACCTAAAGCAATGAAAAATTGTCGAGGTACACCAATACAGAATAGTAGTCAAGGCAAGAAAATACAACTAACTAACTAAGAAAAAATGAAATGAGATTTTTCTTTCTTAAATAGATGATGATGATTCATTACGTGAAGCAACTGATGATTTAGCTGCGGGTGGAAAATCATCAGATTTATCTGTTTCTCCAATAAATTCTCCTCAAGATGAAGACGACGATAATGAAAATTCTCGACATGGAAATATTCGTGCTCAACGGCTTATTCAAAGTATTAAACACATAAAAAAAGCCGATGGCGGTGCTCTATTTTGGGAAGGTTGGATGATACACACAACAGATAAAGATTTATTATTAGAAAAAAAATATTATTGGCGTGTTGATGCTTCGTATGTTAATAAAAAAAAATCTTTTTTTTCTTATCTTTTTTAAAAATTTTTGTTTAATTTAATAAGATGTATAACAATGTATCCAAATGAAACAACAAATAAATTTTCTCGTGAAATAGAATTAGAACATGTTTTATTACAATTAAATATACATGATGATAGGGGACATTATTTTGAAATAAGAACTCCACAAAAAATTTATTATTGTGGATGCAAACGAATAAGAAATCGAGTAAGAACAAAAAAGAAACATTATTTGTCAAAACAAAAAACAAAAAATCAATTTTATCTTTCTTTTTTATTTAAAGAATTATGATTTAGTACACTCAGCACAGCATGCAAGAAATGCTTATACACAAATTAGACAAGCATTATTAGCATATAATAATGATGGAAGTGAAACAAACAATGTATTTACAATACTTTCATCACGAGCGCAAACACGTGATATTAATGAATTATATAAAATAAATCCAATTGAAGTACTTGGTAGTGGACAATTCGGAACAGTTTATGGAGGTTATTCAATAGAAGCAAATGAACAAGTTGCAATTAAAGTTATTGATAAAACACGTTTCAGTGAACAGGAAGAAAAAATTCATCGTGAAGTTGATATTTTACAAGAAGTATCTCATGCAGGTGTGATTAAATTACATGCTATGTTTGATACACCGAGAAAGGTAATTTGAAATAAGAAAAAAAACAAAATGTTTTTTTTTTGTGTTTTTGTTATTTAGTTTTATTTGGTGATGGAGAAACTCAATTCAGATATGCTTGAAATGATTTTATCTCAACCAACAAAACGTCTTAATGAACGACAAACAAAATTTTTAATTTATCAAGTAAAGCATGTTATATATTATTTTATTTTACTGAAAAAAAACTATTTTCTTTTTAATAATTAGGTTCTTGTTGCTTTGAGATATTTACATAGCAAATCCATTGTACATTGTGATTTAAAGCCAGAAAATAGTTTGTTATATTTGATTGAAAATTTAAGAAAATTTTGATTTTGTATAAATAGTTCTTTTGGCTCAAGCACAAGATTTTCCACAAACAAAATTATGTGATTTCGGTTTTGCAAGAATTATTGGAGAAAAATCGTTTCGACGATCTATTGTTGGAACACCCGCTTATTTACGTATGTATTTTTGTGTTCTTTTGTATTTGAGTACAATTAACATTTCTCGGATTACTAATGACTTTTAAGATTTTACCAGAAATTTGTAGTAAAGTGATATGAGTCAATTCGAAACTGATACTTTACTTATAGAATTGAGTAATAAGATATTCTAATATATCCACAGCTTCTAGGAAGAGTTTATATGTAGAAACTAGAACATTCATGATTAATTGTTTCAAAGTATGTCATGAACACGACTAGTCTATGAAATAAAAAATTGAGATTGCATTAAATGCTGTAATTGACGTATAATTACATGAATAGGTCGATGGAAATAATTGTTTGATATTCATGAAGAATACAGAGAAAGAAATATTTAAAATAATTTGAAGGATATTCTTACCTATAATATGATCTACTCCTTGGTTGAACTACACAGTATTTAATCTGTAAGTTATCGTTTGAAAAATAGAAAGATGAGTAGCAGGCTAATCTAATTTGAGATTTTGATTAAAGAATCGAAGTCTTTTTCCACTTGCAGGCGTTTAACAATTTTCTATCGAAAAAAATTCTAACTAAACGTATTCTTCAAATTTCATAATTTATACGATTTAAATAATAATTCTGTATACTGATTACTTGATATTATTTACTTAAAGATTGGAAAATAAATTTCGAATATCTAATAACGAATTTGTCTTTTTCTTTTTCCAGCTCCGGAAGCATTAAAACCTGAAATTCGCTTAGAAAAAGGTTATAATCGTTCGTTGGATATGTGGTCATGTGGTGTCATTATTTATGTTTCGTAAGTAGTACTAGCTTTTTGTTTTTGCTGATTTCAAATTGTATTTTTCTACAAGAGTTAAATTATATATTTATAAATCGACTTCTTTTTAGATTAAGTGGTACTTTTCCATTTAATGAAGACGAAGAAATAGAAGATGTAAGGAGATATTTTAAATTTCATTTTTTATTTTAGATGTTTTTTTTTTTTTTTTTTGTTTTAGCAAATTCGCAATGCAAATTTTATGTTTCCAACAAATCCATGGCAAGATATATCAAGTGAAGGTATATTTAATTTCATTTTTCTTTAATTTAAAATATCAAAAGCAAAGGTTTTCTAATAAAATTTTCATTTTCATAGCTTTACATTTTCTCGAAAGTTTATTAGCATTGGATAGTAGAAAACGATTACATATTAATAAAGTCTTTTTACAATCATGGCTTCAGGTTGAGTGTTGATTATAGTTTTTCTTTTTCTATTTTAAAAATTTAATTTGCATGAGCAATGATTTCTTAATAATGCATGTAAAATTTTTTCCATTTTTAATTGATTGCATGATAATGCACGATTGTTTTAGCTATCGATCTTATTTCTCATCATTTGATTCAAGTCAACACCGGACATCGACTTGCTGCTGCTAATGCTCTCAGGCATGCTTTTTTTGAGGTGTGAGCATGATTTATTTTAAATTGATTCATCAGCCGTTGTTTTTCGAATAATGAATATATTTATAACATTTCAATATAGGATTATCAATTGTATCGTGATTTACGTAAACTTGAAGATTCATGTGCTTATGAACGTTGGTTAACATTGCCTGAAGATGATGATAGATGGGAAAAATATGCAAAAGAAAATGGTTTAATTGAATAACCATTAATTGGTAAAATTTTTTTATTCCAAATAAAAATCTTCTTTTCTTTTTCTTTAGAATCATCATTAACAGTAACACTTCCAAAAAAAAAAAAATTTTTAATGTTTAATCAGCTTTAAACGATAATAGTTCGAATATTGTTATGATGTTTTTTTTTCTGCGTAGTGTCAGATACACTATCGAATAACAAAAAAAAAAAAAAAAAAAAAAAAAACTACGCATTAAAAAAAAAAAAAAGAAGTACCCGTGTGAATTATTTAAAGAGATTGGAAAAGTAGTCATTATTTTTTTTTTCTCTTATTTAGTCATTTATCACTAGTGAATGTCTCTTTTTTTATGTCATTCATTTGTCTACGTGTTGATATGATGCCTTTTTTTTATTTTCTCGAAACTAGTCGGTTTCTGTCGTATTTTATGTGTATATGTGATGGTCATGATGTAGAAATAAGCATCGGGATTTATTTGTGTGTGTTTCTTTTTTTTTTTTTTTAATTCCAGATGTCATCAAGTATAAAACGAGTTTTCAAAGATACGACAAATGAAAAAAAACGGGTAAAAAATGATTCAGCCATTGATTTAAATTTTGATATTGAAGAATTAAAACATGAAAAATCTCAATCTTCATATTCGACATCAATGCTATCTGGTATGAACTAATAAATAATTTAAAATTTCGATAATGAATGTTTTTTTCTTTGAATAAGTAGAATCATTGATTGATAATGACTCTGTGTTGGATGATGATGTATTTGAAAATGAACAAAATGTTATTGTATCTTCGTCGAAGATTAGTCAAAGTCAGTTAATATTTGGTTTTAATTAGTTTCGAAAATTTTTTTTATTTTTATTTTTTTATATAATAGATCGAAGTCGACAACGATTAAATGGAACATCAACATATCCACCAAAGGAAAATAAAAATAAACGAAAAAGTAAACATATCAAAAAGGAAACTATTATGATCGATCAGACATTAAATAAATTACGTGAAGAACAAGCTCGTATTGATGCTCATTCTCTTTCAATTGTTGCCAAATAAATATGTATTATGTATATATGTGTTATAAATATAAACTGTTTTAAAATAAAACTAAACTTCAATGTGTCTTATCTAATCATGTGTCATTGATATTATTTAGTTATTTTTTCTTTTTTGTTGTTTTTTGTTGAGTTCGTTTTCTCTTGTTATGTATGGTTTGATACAAATTGTATGGGCTTTTTTCATCAGAAGTGTCAGATAGACATGTGTGAATTCGTATATGTGAAAGAATGTTAATGGTGGAATATATATATATATTTGTTTCGAAAAGATAAAACTTGTACACAAAAATTCGAGAATAAAAGTGAAAATATTCGTAAATAGTCCTTTCTTTCAATGAATTTCTACCTCTTGAAATTGATCGATGGTGTAGATACGATTCTTTAATATAGTTAAGTATCGTAATCATTTTCTCATTAGATTTTGTTATTTCTAAATGATGTATTTTGTTCTTAAAATAATTAAAGCCAAATCATCAAATAATTGAATTGAGTGTCAACTATACGGCGAGGTCTTGCCGAACTGTTCTTTATATGCCGTTTTACTTCTTCAGCGCATATCAGTTTAATATAATTCGCACGAACTCCTTATCTCGCATAGATCAAATAAAGAAAGAATGAAAAGTATGTTGCTGAGAATAAAGCAAAAAAAAGGGAACCGATTTCTCTGGAACTGATGTTTTATTATCAATTATCTTTTTATATTTGAATTTTTCGTTTTGTTTGACTCAAAATTAAATTATAATGGATTATTTTTGGTTTAATAATCTATTATAATGGCACTATTTTAATGTGATTAAAATAGTGCCATTATTTAATAGATTTTAATCTGATTATTTGGATGTCTCTTTTTTTTTTATATGGGTAGACTTGTGACTGTTCATGTACTAAATATTTTGTCTTTAGAACTTATAATAATCAAGAAGAAGTTTTTGTATGTAGTTCATACACAGATACTATACACATTCATCAATAAACATGATTATAATACTAATTAGTAATATCGTTGACATGATCGGGAAGTAGACAACTGTTCGTTCACTTCGGTTGAACTAGTCGAGTAAATTCTTTCTTACATTCAATAGAAAACTTGTGTCTCATAACAACTCTGAGCCTATAAACTCTTTAGAGAAATCGCTTGTTTTCTTGGTATGAATAAAATGCAAAGTTGTGAGGTGTGTTTCTTCTCTTCACTCACACACTCTTTCATTCTCGTCGCACATTCGAACATTAAATAATGTGTGTAGAGCTCTCGATAAAATGAGTGAAATAATAGGATGTGATGAAGTAATCAGTAGATTGTTGTTCGTACTTGAGGATGAGAGTTTGGCGCTCATAGAGTGCTTATGACATTTTTAGAAGTCTGAAAAGAAAAAAAGCAACGAATGAACTGTTTATAAGCTAGCGAATACGCCTGAAGACAAGAATTTGAAGAGTAGAGAGATATCATACAAAACTATAGTAGAACTGATTAAAAATACAACAACGAACGAAGTGATCAGTCGGTTTGTGACTACACATGAGGATAAGACTTTAGTTGTCAGAAACGTTGCATGCAGTGTTCTTGATGAATGAGGTGAAAACGTAGCAGTCCATGATCTCATTGGTTAATAACTGCGTTCGAGAAATAACAAATATGAGATCAAACAAGGAGTACGCAAAATTATCTGAAGATTGAGAAAAAAGTGTAACAATGAATGAAGTGATCAATGGACTAATAACTGCACTTGAGGATACGCATAGTATTGTCAGATGGAGTGTATATAGATAGCCCTTCCAGACATACTTGAAGAAACGCAATAAATGATATGATTAATAGGCTATTGATTATTCTTGCAGATAAATATGAGAATGTTAGATAGGCTTATTTAATGCATTGGGGAAAACAGATAGTGAAGCTTTTACTAATCAAATTATGAGTATGATCGTAATGCCACTCAAATACAATGCATGTGAACCCTTCAGGCAAATCGTTGAAAGATCAGCAACAAATAAAGCGAGATTGTTGGTGTTAGATTCTGTGCACGAGTACTTTTATCAGTAATAGTGACTAAAACTGCAAAGTTTGAAGTGCTCATAATGATACTGATTCCACTTGGTTATACGAATTGATAAGTTGAAAAAAATTTCTAGGAACTTGTATAAGCAATGAATACAAAAGAAGCAGTAAATAATGCAGTTTGTATACTGTTTACTGCATTAGAAGATGAGAATGCTATTGTCAGATGGATTACATGTGAAGTTCTACGACAAATCAAAGAATAATCAGGATTTCTAGCTGCCGTCACCGCTATCAGATGCAGAAAATTAAAATAAGATCAGTTGCTAAAGTTGATCAATTCCTTGGCTAGCACGACTGAGAGGAACATTTTAGTTACTTCTCTTGCTGTTAATATCAATCGAGTTTATCCTATCTCTGTCATCATTTTTACTTAACAAATAAACGTTATTTTTATTGTTGATTAAATTTGCCAGTAAAGAACCACACACACGTAAACAGCCATGCGAGAAATTAAAATAGACTTAATCAGTAATGAAATTAATACTTGTCTCTTAAATAAAAATGACAAATGAGATTGAATAAATTCGATTAATATTACCATCGAGAGGAATAGCTAAAATAGTATATTGTATTATCGTACTGGTAAACTTGATTTTTCACAAAAGTCTAAGATAATTCCAATTGTCAAGAAAACTATTATGTCATTACAAAACTATTGGCGTTAATAACCGGTGAATCAGTATAATAGCAGTACTGATGCATACCTATACTTCACCTGCACATAACTCTTCAATATCATTCTTTTCATTTAGAAATCCAACATTCACGTCGTCCACTTTCATGTACTTTAAAATTTATATTTGTTTTTTAGCAGTGTTCATCTTTTTGCTATACCTGACTTAGCATCAATGCACCGATTAACTACATATGACTTTTCATTTGTAACGAATACACCAATAAATTCAACTACTTTTGGTCTATCATCATCAACACTAACTACTGTTACTAATAATCTGTTCACATTGAGCAGTACTTGATTGTTTCTTGTAGTAGACAGGACAATGTCGTTTATATCTACTAAAGTTTTTAGAATATAAAATATCTGAACTTCCAAAAAATGATTTCCAAAAACATTAACATTGACTATTGATTGAACTATATAATTTTGTAGTTAAATTTTTGTATAATCTATTGAATATGAAAATTATGCGAATAGAAAACTAAAATTCTCATTTAAAAAGATTCTTTTAAAAGCAAAGTATGAAAAGTATCTATAATATACTGAATTACGTAGGTATTTTAATTTTCATAACAACAAGTTTAATAAGAAAGTAATCAATATATTTTATGAAATGATAGAAAAATATGTTATATATCTCGAAAATACCTTCTACCATAAATAATCAATGAAAAGAGTGAGATTTTTTTTTTCTCTTTTTACTATTGCTCTGCTTTTTTTCTTTCAATTCTTCAGCATGACTATAGAACCATAATTGATATTAAAGAACATAGGTAATATATACTTATATCTAAAAATAATTGACGATTCGACTCATTTTATGTTCGTTCTTCATATCATGTACTTGATCGACAAACTATCAACGACAAGTAGTCATAAAAAAATTGTTAGTTGTGCATGTCCTATTCTAGTAGTTATCTCTTGTGTATATTTTCTTAATCGACAACGATCAGTTACGTTATTGTCAACATCTCTTCAAGTATGGTACACAGCAGAACAGAGAATTAAACGACCAACATATATTAATCGAGATCATGGCTTTTGTGGTCCTTGTCCTATGAATAAAAGCTTATCAAATGCATGGCAATTGACCGATATTGTTGCTCGTATTTCCCCAAAACTTCCTTTTCTCGTTAATATTGGTGCTGCATCTGCAGACGGCGGTCAATACGATCCAACTTATCCTCTTCTAACTGATACCAACTTATCATTTAGTGCACTTCTCATTGATTCAAACAAGAATCCATCTCTTTTTAATGCTTATCCTAATCGTAATAATGTTCGCATTATACACGATTTTGTCTGGCCTGAAACTATTGTTGAAAATCTGTTTGAAAAATACAACATTTCAAAAAATTTTACTATTCTTAAACTTGATGTTGACTCATATGAATGTTCAGTGCTTGAAAGTATTCTTCATGCTGGCTATCGACCTCAATTAATTCATACTGAATTCAATCCTATTTTTCCACCGCCTATTATCTTCATACCAATCTATAATTCAACGACAAAAATATATTGGACACCACCATTATGGTCTAATATTGGTCCATTTTATGGATGTAGTTTATCAGCACTTTCAAAATTATTAAAATCATTCGATTATATTCTTGTTGATGTTGACTTTTGGGATGTTATTTATATTCAACGTCAAATAGCTCAATCAACTCAAATTCAAGTACCTGCAAATGATGATATTGCGTATCAACATGGTTTTCGTGGTCATTCATGTTTACCTTATTGTAAAGAAAATCGAAAGTTGTATAATAATCGTATAGAAAGTGCTATTAAAGTTGCTTTAAATCAAGTAAACTTTACAACATATATGGCACATATTATCGATTCATTTGCTCCAATATCATTGAACAATAATCACAAACATCCATATATTATCAGTATATGAAATGTATTGCTAATTCTATTAGGCATTGATGCTTAGGATTTTATAAAAAAAAAAACATATTAGTTTTATCGAATCTAAATCAAATTATTGAATAATAAAAGGGTGTGTGGGCAGAACTGCTATTTTTTGAATAAAAAGAATTTTTGAAGATTGTAAGAATTTTTATAAATATTAATGATTTAAAAATGTAAAATTTATTGTTGTACTTTGATTTCTTCTATGAAAGATGTTATTATTACATATCTGAGAAATAGAAAGATAAGGAGTTCACACAAAAAACGTTTGATTTAGCAGAGAAATCATAATTTAATTGTACAGATAAATTCATTTATTTATTCTTTGTGAATTATATTACGAAAAGAATTATGAGTTCGACATAAAATTAATACAAATGCAAAAACACATATTTGACTTGCCTTTTCATTTCGAAGAGAAATCAAAAATGAAGTTTTTCGAGGGTACGTTTTTCAAAATGCATACTGATTGAATAATCTAATTATTTAGTCTATATATTCTTCTTGCTAGTTTGTTGACAAGATGCATTGGTTAGTGAAAAGTTTATTAAAACCTGGTGAATATATCTCAACTATAAGTCAAATCTATAGATTTTTAAGTGTTATATATCCATATTCTATGCCAGAGATGTTGGTGGGTTGACCCGTTTTCGTTCAACCCGCCTGACCCGTGGACCCGCCCGCGGGTTACGGGCCGGGTCAGACCTCTGACGGGTTACGGGTTTACGGGTAGTTGTTTTCTCGTTTTACGGGTTTCACGAGCCGGGTTATATTTTTCCGAGAACCCGCGGGTTCAACCCGGTTCAACCCATTTACAGGTTTTGCATTTCAATGCTTTCAGCCTTCATTTCTTTTCTGCTATGTATGTTTACGGTCACTATTTACAAAGTGTCTTCGTTCATCCACCGGTTTAGCCGCTTTTACTGTTTCTTTCATTTTCCAACGCGTGAATTCTTTCTAATTTTTCTTTCTTTACATAGTCATTCCAGTGATTCATTCATTTGTTTTATAGCAGGCGCACATAAAGGATCATACAAGATTCTGGATATATTTTGTTTGAGACATTACGCTATGACTAAATGGCGTAGAGGCTTCATTGTTTTTTTTTTGGTTAGAAACAGCAGTGTCTAATGCAAATATTCACGAAAGANCTCGGCCGATCCTTCTCATCTTCGAACTCGACCGAGATATTGTAAAGACTGAACTGTGTAGAAAATTTCATCGTGATCGGACTCTCCTTTCGAAAGTTATCGTGTAAACGGCCGGCCGGACGGACGGCCGGACGGCCGGACATACTGACCGATTCTAGAGTGTACTCACTTTTTGAGTACACAAAAAACACGTTTTTAGTCGATTTTTAGCAATTTTTTCATAAATTTCACTTTTTTACGGTTTTTGTAATGCTTATAACTTTTGAAGAGAAGATCATAGAGAGCTCGGAGACATCTCATTTTGTACAGAATTGGCTGTTCTATCATTCTAGCCTGTTAAAACAAAAAACAATTCACGCTTTCTGGGTGCTGAAAAACTAGGGTTTTGGTTTTCTGGAGACCCAGCCCTTGGGAATCTGATTATAATTTCTATTTTCTTATATTCTTATTGGAAACCATTTTCTCTACTGGAATCACTATTTGGAGACTTCCTAGTGGTGAAGATAGGGGGAAAAATTGAAAATAAAGCTTGTTGAACAATTTTGGGACCCACTGTATATATATACACAATAAATTATATATTTTAGCTGTGGTTGTGCAATGTCTGGCTTAATTGCTGATGCAAAAACTTTAATTGATAAAGCACGCGTTGAAGCACAAAATCATTGGTTTACACATAATGAACGTATGACAATTGAATCAATTACTCAATCTGTATCAAATATGGCGTTAGCATTTAGTGATGATTCGGATGAAGTTGCACCTATTTCACGTCCATTTGGTGTTGCACTTTTATTTGCTGGCTGGGATGAAAATGGTCCACATTTATTTCATCTTGATCCATCAGGTACATATACTGAATATGATGCTAAAGCAATTGGATCAGGCAGTGAAGGTGCTGATCAAACACTTCAAGATGTTTATCATAAATCAATGAAATTATCAGAAGCATGCAAACATGTTTTAACAATTCTTAAACAAGTTATGGAAGAAAAATTGAATGCAACTAATGTTGAAATGGCTACAGTTGATGCTAAAGGTTATCGTTTATTTAAAAAAGAAGAAATTGATGATATTATAAAAAATATGTAAACTTAATAATCATTATCAAAAAATTTAGCCAAGAACATCATGATCCTTTTTTTTTTACATTTATTTCTTTTTCTTTTTCTGTTTGTTAAAATGAAACCATTGTTATGTTTTTAAAAAAACAAACAAATAACAGAGAAAGTGTATGGATCAATCTTCATAGGTTTTTCTTCTTTTTCTTTTTAATTCAAATAGATCTTTTAAAAATAATGATTGTATTTATGGTTGCTGAAAAGCCTTCATTGGCTTTATCAATATCACAAATTCTATCTAATGGTCAATTATCATCAAGAAAAGGTTTTAATAATGTTTGTAGTGTTCATGAATGGACAGGAAAATTTCAATCAAATTCATCCGTTCGTTTTCGTATGACATCAGTAGCTGGTCATGTATTTGGTATTGATTTTGTTCCACGTTATAATAATTGGGATAAAGTTGATCCAGTAAGATTTTCTATTGTGTTTACATTTTTTTATATCAAATATTGTATACAGTGACACTAAAAACTGATCATATACAGTTTTAATTTCAATTGTTTTTTCGAAATAATAGCTCGCATAAAGAAGCCAAATTGTGATTTGAATAAAGAAGATTGTTTCCAATGAATATATGAGGTAAATAAAATCTTCAAAGCATTGTCAAAATTCAATATCTCTAGAAAATCTCGAGCCTACTGTTTAGCACAGAGTATCTGAAAATAAAAGTTTCTTTTGATTACACAAATTAATAGAGCAACTAAATCTCTACAAAATGAAATGTTTCTGAGTTCTCTATAGTAGCTTTTGATTGAATAATTATATTATTTAAAAAGAAGTTCAAAAGTCCTTTTTGACCAGTTTTCCCTTAGAAAAATAGTAAGAAAAACCGTTATTTGGTGACTATTAATATCAATGTAATTTCATTCAAAAATGTCGTGGAGAACTCAGAAATATTGCTCTGCGTAATTAAAAAAAGCTTTTATTGTCGGATTGTAGGTGGTAAAAAACTAGATTTTGAGTTTTTTAGAGATGCTGAATTTTTTTTAATACTGTGAAAATATTATTTGCCTTAAATCCTTGTTGGAAACAATTTTCTCTACTTAAGTTTCGATTTGGATTCTCTATGCAAGTTGCTATTACATAAACAAAAATCAAAATTAAATCTGTATGATCAATTTTTCAAGCTATTGTATATAAAATCATTAATTAGGCTGAATTATTTGCCGGTGAAACATTAAAAAAAGAAGCAACACCAGGTCATCATATGCCAGCTTTTCTTGAAAAAGAATCACGTGGTGCTGATATAATTGTATTATGGTTAGATTGTGATAAAGAAGGTGAAAATATTTGTTTTGAAGTTCTCGATTGTATTAAGAGTTCAATTAATCAAAATGTTTGTAAAAACAATTATTTAATTTTTATTAAAAATTACGAAAAAATTGTTTGTGTTTTTTTTTTAAATAGGCAAAAGTTTTTCGTGCAAAATTTAGTTCTATTACTGATAAAGATATTCGTCATGCATTTAGTAATCTCGGATATCCAGACAAAAATCAATCGTTATCTGTTGATGCTCGTCAAGAACTTGATTTACGTATTGGCTGTGCATTTACACGATTTCAAACTCGATATTTTCAAGTATTCTATTATATAAATTAGTTTGTTTATTTAGTGTATTTTGTTATTTTAGGGAAAATATGGTGATTTAGATAGTAGTTGTATATCTTATGGTCCTTGTCAAACACCAACACTTGGTTTTTGTGTTGATCGTCATGCTAAAATACAATCATTTCAATCTGAACCTTATTGGTTAATAACTGTTGAAGTAAGTTGATCATTTGGATTATAAAAAGAAATTAATGTTCTACTATTTTTCTATTTTTAGATAAAACATACAAATGATAAAATTTTGAAACTTTATTGGGATCGTGGTCATATATTTGATAAAGAAATAGCTTATTTTTTTCTTAATAATATCAAAGCAGCAAATAAAGTTCGGTAAAAGACAGAAAAAAAAAGTTATAAACAATTAGAATTAAAATATTTCTTAAACTATTTTATTTAATAATCTAGAGTTATATCTATTAAAACAGAAAAGAAACATAAAGGACGTCCGAATGCATTAAATACTGTTGATTTATTAAAAGTAGCTAGTGCTGGTCTTGGTAAGAATGTTATTCTTTTATTTTGCATAGAATTCTTTTCTATTAGGTATGAGTCCTCATCATGCTATGCAAATTGCTGAACGTCTTTATACATCGGGTTATATTAGTTATCCACGTACAGAAACTACACAATATGCTGAAAATGCTGATCTTAAGTAAATCTATTTTAAAAAAAAAACACAACTTATTATTTAAATCTATACGTATTTTCTTTGTCTTTTAGGAGTGTTCTTCATGAATTATCCAATTGTTCAGATACAGATTGGCGAAGTCATATAAAAGGTCTTTTATCAGAAGGACAATATACGCCACCAAAACGAGGCAAAGATGTTGGTGATCATCCTCCAATAACACCAGTAAAAGCAGCTAGTTCAACATCTGTTGGTGGTGGTGATTACTGGCGTTTATACGATTATGTTTGTCGACATTTTATTGCAACAGTATGACGTATAGTAATTAAATAAAGCAACAACACAAAAAAATGTGTTTTTTTTTTTTTTCATCTTATTTCAGGTTAGTCCTGATTGTATATATGAAGAAACAACAGTTTCATTTGATGTATCAAATGAAACATTATCACTATCAGGTAAAAATGTTGTTGAACCTGGTTTTACATCAATTATGCCATGGAAACGTGTTTCTAATGATGAACCTATTCCATCATTTACAATAAATGAAATATTTACAATCGAAGATGTTAAATTAGATGAACGACATACAACAGCACCAGATTATTTAACTGAAAGTGAACTTATATCATTAATGGAAAAACATGGTATTGGTACAGATGCAAGTATACCAGTACATATTAATAATATTTGTGAACGAAATTATGTCAAAGTTGATAATGGACGACGTTTAATACCAACATCATTAGGTATTGTACTTGTTCATGGTTATCAAAAGGTATAAAAATAAAAATAAAATCAAAGAGGAAACAGCAGATTTCAAGTCTTCAAATTTTTCAAGAAAATTCAACGACTTCATGGAGAGTTCAAGACTGAAGTTTCGACTGTTTTCTCTTCGAATAAAATATGAAAATATATTTTTATTTTATATTATTAGATTGATCCGGAATTATCTTTACCTCATATGAGATCATCAGTTGAAACTGAACTTAATGAAGTTTGTTCTTTTCTTTTTATGTATATTCAAGAAGTAGTAAACTTTCATATTTGTTTTATTAGATTGCTCTTGGTCGTATCAATTATCAACAATTAGTTCCACATGTAATTCGAATATTTGAACAAAAATTTCATTATTTTGTTCAACATATTCAAGGAATGGATTCACTATTTGAAGTATCATTTTCACCATTAGCTGCTAGTGGAAAACCATTTGTTCGGTAAACATTATTTTTTTTTTTACTATTTCAAATAATTCAAGTCTTGTTTTTTTTTTTCTTTTTGCTTTGTAAATAGATGTGGAAAATGTCGTCGTTATATGAAATTAATTGAATCAAGACCTAGTCGTTTACATTGTGAAACATGTAAAGATACATATAATCTTCCACAAAATGGTACTATTAAAGCATTTAAAGAACTTCGATGCCCATTAGATGAATTTGAACTTGTTCAATTTGCTGCTAATAATAATGCAAAAGTAAATTTTTTCTTAAATTATTTATTTATATTTTGTATTCATTTAGAATTTTTCTTTATGTCCTTATTGTTATAATAATCCACCATTTAAAAATATGCATAAAAATGCTGGTTGTAATGAATGTACACATCCAACATGTCGTTATTCACTTGAAGTTAATGGTATATGTGCTTGTTATATATGTAAACAAGGTATATTTCTATTAGACATAACATCAATACCAAAATATCGTCTTGCTTGTAATAAGTATGTAGAATTTAAAATAAATTATAAATTGAATATAAAATATTATGATTAAGATGTCCATTTGTTTTGGCATTACCTGAAGCTATACAAAAGATAACAATGAAAGAAGGTGAATTTTGTGAACAATGTAATACAGCATTAATGGATATAGAATTTAATAAGGTAGAATTTTTTGAAGAAAATAAATTAAATAAGAAAGATAAAATGAATATATTTTTTTTCTAGGAAAAAAGTCCTGATTTATCTTCTCTATCATCAGCATGTATACTTTGTCATGAATATTTTCTTGAAACTATTCAACGAACCGTTACTTATATTAGCAATATGCAAAATCGACCAGCTAGTGGACGTGGTGGTCCTACTCGTGGAGGACAAAGAGGTGGTGGACGTGGTGGTCCAGGTCGAGGAAGAGGTCGTGGTGGTAGTAATCGAGGACGAGGTCCTTCTCGTGGAGGTCGTGGTGGACGAGGTCGAGGACGAAATTAGCTATTATTTCGTTATTTTATTGATTCTTTTCTTTAAACTGTTATTGATTTAGCTCGTTTTTTGTTTTGGTTTTCTTTTTTACTTCAGATATATAAATAAAATGACGACAAAATCTAATCGACCTGATGCTGAAATTGAAGCTGATTTTAATGCACGAGCAACTCAACTTGAAAGTTCCTTAAATGAACTTGAAACGTTTCTTTCTCGACTTGATTCAGTATCATATACAGCACTTCATGAAAATCTTACACCACTTGATCAAGCTCGTTTTGATTTAACTGCTGTTTATACACTTAATTCATTCATGTGGGCTTATTTAAGAACACGTGGTGTTGATCCGAAACAAACACAATTAAAAAGTGAATTAGATCGAGTAAAATCTTATATGGATAAATTAAAATTAGTTGTTGATAGACAATCAGCAGCACGAATTGATAAACAAGCATCAACTAGACTTATGCGAAATGCATTATGGCAACAAGCACATTCAAAAAATAAAACAACTAAAAATGATGATCAACAGACAGAA